ATTACTAGCAGTTTGGGAACTCGGCTTGGTTTTTATAGGTGTAGTTACCAGGCAGAAGTGTTTCTAGCATACCTGCAGGCATGGGTACTGTGAGTGAGCCACTCATGTCTTGTCTTCTGATTAATTTAGCCTGGGCTGGTAGTAACACAGAGATGAACTGCTTGGAATGAAAGTCTGGTCACAGGACAGGTCTTTGTGGAGGCAGGTCTTCCTCAAAGTTAGCACCTCATAGCAGTTTAACATGAAAATCAACACATAAATGAGACACAAAACTAAATTTCTTTTGAAGGTACTCCCTTGAGTTCAGAGTTAAGGGACCTCATGAAGAAGGGAAAGCTGAGAAAGCAAGCAAGCAAGCCATCCTTTCTGCTAGTTCAGTGTATGAATGCCTCATGCTATTGACAGTCTTGCTTCCTTAATTTATGTGAAAAATGGGAGAATATCCCAACATCTTGGAATATTAGTGCAATGTATTCCAACACTTCTAATATTAATATCAGAGGAGTGAAGGAGTGAAGGAGTGAAGGAGTGAAGGAGGGAAGCTGCTTCAGCTACAGCTGCAGGCATGTTCCATGTGCTGACTGGACAGCGTAAAATGTGCATCCTAACAGGCTGTTCACCTCATCTGACATTTTGCTCATGGTTTATTATTCAATAGTAATGCTTGATTTGGGTTTTCCTGGAGGTGCATACCATGTATTATAGCTACACAACAAACAGGTCAACATAATAAATGAATTATTCCTAACACCTATGTGCTTTGAAAACTTATTCCTGACTCTTGTAGGGTTGTCACCAAGAATAGCTATGAGTATCCCCTCCTCCATACAATTAGGCAGAAAGCTAAAAATCTTACAAAGAGGTGCAAAGCTAGAGCATACATGATACCTTGCACTATTATATAACGTGAAAAAGGTTATTAACAAGGAACTCAAATGAACTCAAAACATGATACCACAGTAAACCGACCTTTGCAAGGTGTTGCTACAGAGGCCCCCAGCTTGCACTCTGGCTGCTTTTCTGCTTCAAGCAGCCACAGTGTGGACGTGATTTCTACTGTTCCCTCTTTTGCTGCTTTTGAGCATCTCACACTGCTTCATAAATTTATGTTAACAATCCCTCTCTCTGTGAAAAAATTGCTACCACCCCCTGTGACAGATATGTAATTCAGGCCCAAAGACAGATTCTTCAAATCCATATAAATATTAAAAGCTGCATATAGGTGCTCAGCTGGTGTTCATCAGCTCAGTAAGCATCTGTCAGTGACTTGAGGCAACTACACGCTCAGGTGCTTTGGATTTGATGTGGATAGGCTACAGATCCTATCTGTCCTGGCAACATGGAGTAAAGCAGTGAACTGAACTCTGGTCAGTGTCCTCCAATATGGCTGGTCTTCCTTTCCCTCCTTGTTTTAACCCTCTAACAAAGTTCTTCTTCTATTAGTATCTACCCTGTGTCGTAATTAAACTAAGTGTATTTCAGTATTCCTGTTACCTATTTGCAAACTTAGTCATTGTGAAGGCTTGCTTAAAATTCTAGTGTAGCTAGCTCCAAAACTGCCCTAGTAGATGCCTTGGAAAAGAAGTGTACGTGCTCCAGAAAAAAAAAAAGTTATAAATAAGGGAATAAGAGACTGCCAATGCTGTTTAAATTGCTTCCTCTCTTTAATTAAAATAAAACCAGAAACACTGATGTAAGACAATATATCAAAAGTTACTCACTGGAAAGAAAACCCTGAAAATACCAAACGTATGTGACATTTGGTTCCTGATCAAAAATGATTATATGTATCAGCTGATCCTTCCAAAAGTCGGGATATGTAACATTTGATGTATACATTTGGAAAATGCAATGCAATCCTGAAACCTGTCTTTTAAAATCCAGAATAATATGTTGTTGATATTTGCCATAAAGCTCAGTAATAGTGACTCTAAAGCTGCACTTTAGCACACCATTTTCCTTGTCCCTCTGCAGGTGTGACATACTGCACCTGCAGCCTTGAGAAGCCAAGATTCCTTGGGATGTTCTTGCCTTGGAGATTTCGTCAAGTAGATCCTCTTACTGACATCTGAACCCAGGATGACCTTGGACCATGTGGACATGCTAGAATTTCACACGACTCATCTCTGTAGGTATTATATAGTCTGCAGCCAAAATATCAGGGGAATTTGTTGTCCTATAAATACAGATCTGTATTTTGCAATAAATACTTAGATAAGGACTAGCTTTGTTACATAGCACAGCCCCTGTGCCTGCCAGAGGGCTGGCAGCTGCCTGGTCTCCATATTCAAATAGCAGATCATGCCCTGGTTATCTGACATATGAACAAGTAGGGATTAGATTAATTACCATAAATGTCTTCTCATAATACACAATTTTAAAAGGATTTATTTAATAACAGATAACAGATGGGAAAATACACTTGTTCCCACACTGTAAAAAATAAAATAATTCATCAATAAGTGTATTACTTTTGTTAGCTTCTAGTTCTTCTGGAATCTATGGCTACATTTCGATACTGGCTCAAGTTGTGCTCACAGACTGTTTTCCTTATGATTATTTAAATTAATTGATGATTTTAAGCACCACTAGAGGGCACAGAATTATAACAATATTTCCTAATGGATCACAAAAAGTACATCAGGAACTGGAGTTCAGTGATGTTCAGTTTATTGGCCTAATTCTCAGTTCAAAGCCTCATTCCTATCAGCAGTGATGCACGTGTGCTGCTGTGAGCTGTGCCATTGCCCACACCAGCAATTGAACAAAGCTCAAGGGTTAGTGCCCCTGGCACAGAGGCCTGGCACAGTGGGTTGGAATGACTATGTGCTCTCACTTGAAGTTTGGCTTTCCAGAATTTCAGTATCAGCTCTCAAATCAAAGTGACTAAGGCCACAAGAGTTTAAATCTAAGCACGATTCTGGAGGAGTGGCTGATGGTAAAGGCATGCTGTACATCTTCAGCTGTAAATGAGTACATAGGGATGAGAAAAGAGTATAAACACTTGCGTATATCAAACCGGGGAAATGCAAACAAGTAGTAAATGAAGGATTAACTAACACAATTTACAATTCAAAGAAAGAAGAGTAGATATGTGCCACTGGAAAGCTTAAATATTAATGGGATTTCTGTGGATAGTTGTATCAACTACTTAACATCTGTTTTGACATGTGTGCTGTTTCTGCCATCCCTTATCACGAGTCTGAGTGGCCACTGTGGTTCACATGTTAAAAAGTTCCTGTCTGAACTGGCCTGCAGTGGAGGAGAAAATGTAGGGAAGACAGGAGAAAGTTTAAACTCATCATTCAAAGACATCTGATTGAATGGCATTGCACACACTGTAGCAACGAATTACTACTGGTGATGTGTCCGTGTTACATTAGTAGGGGCACAAGTTAATGTTCACTGCCAGAATGTGAAATGAGTCTTACAGTTTCTTCTTTTCTGAGAGCTGAAGACCATGCGTTAATCAAAGCTCAAGAGCCTGGCCTCTAACTAGCCAGCACAAAGGAAAAAAACGCCGAAAATTAATTTCTGAGTGTTTCTATTGAATTTCGCTTAACGTTAGCATACACCTTACTGTTTTTCATTAACACTTCGGGAATTAGCGTCACATTTTCACATCGTGGCGCTCAGGCTGCAAAACCAGTGACATGCAGCTATTTCTCGTGAAGTGGGTGCCGAAGTGCCGGGGGGCGGCTCGTCCTGTGCCCGGGGCAGCGCGGGGCTCCCAGGCATCGCCGGGGCACGGCGGGCGCTGCCAAGCTGCGGCCCCAGGGGCGGCACGGGCGGCGATTGCCCGCAGCAGGCGGCCGCGGGGTGCGGGGGGAGTGCTGGGGATGGCCGGGGATCGCCCGCCGAGCACGGGCGATAACCCACGGGCAAAGCGGGCGCGGTGCGGCGGCCGGGCGGGCAGCGCGGTGCGGCCGCGCCTGCGGGTGCCGGGGTGGGTGGTGTTTTTTTCCGCAAGCTCACCTTGATGCGGCGGGGCGTAAAAGGGCCGCGCTCGGCAGGGGGAGCATCGCTGTCTCGGCGCAGCGCGGGCACCGAGCGGCGGCACCGCTGCGCTCCGGCCGCACCGCGCCGGGGCCAGAGCTGACGGGGGCCGTGAGGGAGCCCGCGGGAAGGGCAGGCCCGCCGCTGCCCCTGGGATCGGCTGTCTCGCCGCCGCACGAGGCCGGGACACGGCGGAAGCGCCGGAGCGGCGTGCCGGGCCGCGCCGCCCCCTCGGGGGGACACCCGGCGGCTCGTCTGCGCTGCCCCGCCCGGGCCGGCCGCGCTCCCTGCCCGCAGAGGGGTCCCGCCGCCGGCCGATCCTCCCCCGCGCCGCCGCCGGGACTTACGGCACTTTTGTGACTTTCTCGGACTTACATGGACATTTCCCGGCAGCGCGCGTAGAACGCGGGCGCCGCGTCCCGCCAGACGCTCTCCGCCCGCCTCACCGCGGGCACCGCCGCTGCCGCTGCCGCTCGCGCCCCGGGACGCGAAGGCTCCGGGCGGCGCGGCCCCCGCCTGCCCCCACCGGCCCGCCCGCCTCGCCGACTTTCTCCGCCGCTCGGAGCGAGAGCAACAGCTTGCCCGGCCCGACCGAGCCGAACGACGCGGGAGGCAGCGAGGGAGCGGGCGGCGGCGGGCACCGCCGAGCCGCGGCCTCTCCGCCGGAGCCGCGAGGAGCTGCCCTCCCTCCCTCCTCCCCGTCCCGGGCCGCGGAGCCACGCCGGGCGGCGCTGCGGGGACCGGCGGCGGGGCCCCGCCGCCCGGGAGGAGAGCGCGCCCGGGGGGGCGCCCGCTCCCTCGCCGGGGCCCCCGCGAAGCTGCCGCAGGCCGGCCCGCCGCGCCGGGTGCCCAAAGTGGCCCGCGCCCCCGCGCCCCGCGGGCGCCGCCCGGAGACCCTCGGCCCCCGCTGCCTCTTGCGGGCTGCTGCCGCGGGGTGCCTGGCCGCCGCCGCCCGCACCCTGCTCCGCCGCGGCCCCGGCGCCCGCTCCGGCGCCCGGGGTGATGCCATGCCCCGCAACCACGGCGGCGGGGAGGAGGGCGGCTCCGCGGGGCTCTGGGTGAAGAGCGGCGCGGCAGCTGGCATGAAGGATGTGGAGTCGGGCCGGGGCAGGGCGCTGACGAGCTCAGCGGCCCGCGGCGACGGCCTGCTGCTCCTGGGCACCGGCGGCGCGGCCGCCCCCGCCGGGTTGCGGGAGGGCCGCCGCGGGAAGCACGGCGCCCGCATGAGCCTGCTGGGGAAGCCGCTGTCGTACAGCAGCGGACCGAGCTGCCGCAGGAACGCCAAGTACCGCCGCCTGCAGAACTACCTGTACAACGTGCTGGAGCGGCCCCGCGGATGGGCCTTCGTCTACCACGCCTTCGTGTGAGTACCGACCCGCTCCCCTCTCCTCCCGTCCCGTCGCGTCCTGCCCTGTCCCGACCCCTCCCGTTCGTCCCACGGGCTGCCTCCCACACCTGTCCTGAGCAGCGTCCCGCCGCACGGCGCGGCTGGTACCTCCCCGCCTGCCCCTCCGGTCCCCGGGCATCATTTCTGCCGGGACACGGGGAGGACGAGTACCCATCCGAGTACCCCACGTGTCGCGCCGAAAGTGCCCGGGAGGAGTCACCGGAGGCGCGGGAGCCGCTGTCACCTGCGGCGCGGCTCTCCGCGGGCGGCGGGAAATCCCGCGCAGCCCTGGGTGGGAGGTGATGGGGGAAAGCTCGATTCAGCCGGCAGAGAACCGGCGGGGAGCACGGCAGGGAGCACGGCAGGGAGCACATGCTCGCTGGTCTCCCGGGCGCCCGAGGCAGCCGGTGTGCGCGGGGGGAGACTGCGCGGCGCTCCCGCTGATGCCGCACGCCGGCCTCGAGATTAGACGGAGCGAGGGGTGCCGGCGGCTGCCGGGTGCTCCCCGGGGCGCAGTGGGCACGCCAGCGGTACCCGCGGCGCCTGTCCTGCCGAGCGGACACCGAGCGCTGCGCGGTTTGAAAAGTTGCCGCCGCGGAGCTGCAGCGCTCGGTTCTGCCTCCGGAGTGTTCTCCGAGCGCCCTGGTCCCCGCCTCGCAGGGAGTGCGGGTGACGGCGCCTTCCCACGCGGGGGCTCGCCGCGGGATGCTGCGCCCCAGGTGCGGCCACCTGCCGCTGGCAGCGTGCGGCGAGCGGCGCCGGTGCCTGCGGCTGCTGAGCTTTGGTCTCAGCAAGTGACGGTTCCTGCCGCACTCATCCTGAAAAAGCCCGGGACGGAAATCTGTGTTCCGTCCCATCGCTCAGCGGAGAGCGGTGCTGTCACCGCGCTGCGAAACTTGTGCTGCTTTAACTTCAAGAGGCTTGCCCGGGACACCTGTGCGAGGGAACCCGTGGCTGTCTCTGCTTGCTTGCAGTGTCCTTGGGGTCAGCCATGCTCCTCAGTTCATTAGCAATCCTCTGTTTTTATGGGTTTTGGTAGTATTCGGGGGAAAGGCCCTACTCAAAATCCTTTTTGATGGCTGAGCAAAACAAGCGGCAAAGTCTGTCAAGGAGCTGTAACAGTGGATCATATTTATGGGTGAAAACGTGACCAATTACAGAGGAAGGAAGTTAAGCATTTCTGTATTGGGGATATAATACAATTTATTGTTATGTCTGACTATAGGAAATACATCATAAACGAATCAGAATATTTAACTGATAAGCTGTAAGTAACTGTATTTGTTCCAGGATAGTCGTGGAAATCAAGTAGCGGCTGCAGAATCTTGGCTAAAAAAAGCAACTGTTCCCTAAAAGCTGTTTGAAAGCATAAATAGTGCTCCTCTCCCAGCAGTAGGGGAACCCTCAAATCTTACTTTAATAGCAGCTGTTGTAAGTAAAATGTGCCAAAAACATGGCAGTCTGATTAATAAGATAATTTGTGGAAAGATTCATTTAGTAGATGACAATTACTATAGACAGCAAGTAGTAGAAATGTGCTTAATGTCATATATTATTCAGTAAAAGGATTTTTGTCCACTTAAAAGATCTTCCCATTATTTCTGTTTTACTCTGAAAATCAACTCTTACACCTAAAATGTTCTTCTTGGAGGGCATTTATTTGGTACATTTTGCTGTCTGGGTCCTTACAGGTGTTTTCCTGTGGCCTAGATGGATGTAAATTAGTATTGCAGCAACCACCAAAATATGTACTAGGAATCATTTTATGTCAATGCCTGAAGTTACCAGCCAAAATATGCAAATGATAGTTTTGGACCTTTTTGTTGGAGTTCGTGATAGAAATCTTTAAAACCAGAAAAGTTTGAGTTGGAAATACAGCTGAGAAGTTTAAACCTTAAAAAAAAATTAAAAAAAAAAAAAGGTGGTAAATTTCCAACCGGAGTGTAGTCATGACACAGCAGCGCTGTAAACAAGGAAGATTGCCAGCTGCGTTTTGATAATTGCCTGCATAGAAAGAGTGCCAGTTTTAATTTTTAATTGCAAATGGCAATTTTGGCAAATGTAATGCCAGCATTACATCTTTTATCTGATCAGATCTGTGTGAAAGAGCTTGAAACATTACTGTAGTATAAGACACCTAGTAATATTATTACCTTAAAGTATCTGTCACTGATACAGTGTTTAAGGTGCATTTGAAGTTCCATTGGATTTCAGTTTGACAGCCATCCTTATTGCCAGTGATGCCACAGTCTACAAATTATTTTAATGTGTTTGTATAATTCTGATTTAATCACAGTCAGATAATAGGATAATATTTATGGTGTTCCAGGCTCATTTTTTTCCAGCCACTTGATCGAATATAGTTGCATCTTGGAAAACAGACTTTTTTACAGAATTAAAAACCAAACCAAAACCAAAAAGCCACAGCTATTTGAAAAAAGAAGTCTTGAGACGAGTAGCTTAGGGTTGCAAAGACATTACAAAGTACATGGAGGAGATGACTGTTTCTACCAGTGCTAAGCTATTCTTGACTGCAGTGCAGCCCATTATAGCTCTGTACTATTTCTGTTACAGGAATGGGCTATCTGGGGTGAGACCTTTTCAGTAGATCACTGGTCTCCTGAAACCTCACTCTGATATGCAGGTTGAAGTCATGCAAGGGTGGTTACAGAGTTTTGGTTCTAAAGGCTTTGATCTAGCAGTTTAGATTTGTGTGTTTATTTTTAAAATAAGAATTGAAGATTTGTTACAAATAAGAAATCATTCATGCAGTGATATCGATGATATTTTAATGTATCACTCCCATAGGGGAAAACACTTCAGACCTGAGAAGTATGCCCAGTTAGCTCTTCTTTTTTGTTCTTGCCCTTTCAAATAAGACAAAAATAGGCCAGCCACCTAAGGAATGAGTGTTGTGACCTACATTCAGAAGTCAATTGGTTAGTTTATTTGTAAATACAAACCTGCCAGATTCTAAAAAAGACAGCTATTTTGCAAACTTCTGCAGTTAGGGGAAGAAGTTACTCTTGAGCAAAGGCCTTTGATTTCAGTAAAGTTGTGCTGGAGAGCAGAGCCATAAATGACATGTTTCTTGAATTCTTTTTTGTGCGCCTCAGTAGTTCTTTACATCGAAGCTCCTATTAAAATTTAAGATCTTTCCTGCAAGTTTTTGAAAACCTTCATTTGAGATACTGCTTTATGCCACACCACATCACCTACACATGGAGCCATGTGCATATTTAACACGTGTGCTTACATTAAAAGGCTGTGATATTGTAACTTTTCAAAAGCATTGTCTTGGAATGTCACAGCATTTCTTTTTGTTATTTCTGTTGCAGTTTATTATGGCTTGTTTGGTGTGATAAAAATGTGCAGCCATTGCCTTAGAATGATCAAAGGGGAATTCCAGATTTGTTGCAAATTTCACTCTGGATTTCATCTTCAGTTATCATAAGGGCTTTGTATTATTTTTGTTCTTAATTGACGTTCTGAAAATGAGATGGCATGAGATGTTCAGAAACAAAATACTGCTCTTTGATACTGTTTATAGTGGTAGGATATAATTAGTTGCATAAGTTTCCTAATTTAACATGTTGGATTTATTTCAGGAATAATAAAGTTTCTGTTTCTTACTGACTTCTTTGTAATGTATTCCATGCAGAAATCTTTGACGTTTGTTGTGGGGATGTCCTTCGCTTTACAAAGCTACCAACTTTCGCTCTGGAAGCTTCTGAATTCCAAATCACACATCTGGATGTGTGAACAAGGGTGGTAGCACGTTGCATTGCATGGCCTGTATTGATGGGTTTTCATGGACATCCCCCACTGGCCACTGCAGAAGAAAAGATGCAGCATTAGCTGAATTGCGAGAGCCTGTACAGTATTATTCTTGTCTTTTGCGTTATTGATGGAAAAACAACTGAAAAATTATTTCTGGAAAAAATGTAATGATGCCATCAAAGATTTAACTAGCTATTTTAGCCTTCCAGATCTGCTGGAAAGGATATAGCTCAGTAATGATCAGGAATGGCTGTTGACCAGCAGGTCTTTGCATGTGAGCTAGCAGAGCTGCATCACACCGTGCACGCCCTTGGTATAATAATGGAGGCTCCTTATTCTGATTAGAAAACCAGTCATGTGCAACACCCAAAGGACTTGCTTGTTCTCATGCTATTGAAAGTAGGAGAAATTATTTTATCTCTTTCTTTTTTCCATCTTCTGGCAGCTAATGAACTAATTCCAGGTGCTTTATGGGTAACTGTACAGCTTTCATCTTTTCAGGCACCATTTCAGAGTCAGGATCTGTTGCTGTTAGGGCAACAATGTATTTCTGTATGTTTGTAAAAACAAATAAAAACATGATATTTACAATTAACAAACAACAGCGTTGACAACATAAATATGTAGCAAATCAAGTCTTATTGGGTACTGAGGAGATGCAAATTTAAAATTCTTTAACTGTAGCACACAAACCTTAGTAGCACTTTCTTTCAGATACAATGAATTAAAGTGGATATTTAGATGCCCTTCAGCAGTGATTTGCTGCATTTGAAGCAGTCTGTGATTCTATACATGTGCATATTTCTCATTGTTTTGAAGGAACCTTAGGAAGTTACCCAGTCCAGCTGGGAGATACACTCTTCCCAGTCGTGTGAGGTGGCTTTGTTTAGACAGGCCCTAAATTTCCCTGGATGAAAATCCCACCACCTTACTGAATAACCTGCAGGTTTGCAACCTGCCTGTTGAAAAAAAGAGGAGATTTGACATGGGGAGGGAAGAATGGAAGAGCCACCCTGAACTTCCCAAGTGGCAATTTATGGCCGTTGCCCCTTTATATATGTTCTGTCACTGCTGAGAAGATTTTGGCTTCTTTATAATTTTGATTTACCTTCAAGTAGATGTAGGCTGCTACAGGGTCACCTGTTAGATCACCCTTCTGTCAGACCAAACATGCTCAGCTCCATCAACTGCTCCAA